TTTTATTTTCCTTTTTGTTTTTTTGTTGTTTTTGGTGGTTCAGAATTTAGTTAATGTTAAACAAGAAAATATTATTTTTCTTGTTGTGGTGGTATAGTGAATTTGTCAAACAATTTGTAACTTTCTGCTGTAAACCTGTCTGTTTTGACCTCAATCATCCAGTTTTGTTTGCTGTTGACAGCATTTCAAATATACAAAAATTTTCTTCTTGACGAGAAAAAAGCTGTTGCTTAATTTAAATTATTAATTAAAAAAAAACTGTTTCAAGAACAAGCGCAACTTCAAATCAGTACAGGTTGGTTTTGATATTAATTGTATTGCACTGATAGATGTATAAATGGGTAATTGGTCAGATGAACTTACAACATAAATTTGACATTAACCGTTTTCACATGTAACTCCTTATTCACTGTTTGTTTTGCAATTCATCAGCTACTGTTCAGGAATTCTGTGACGAACAAATTTTGATGCTTTTTAGTGAGCTTTATTTTAGCTCTAAATGCATACGTTGTTGTACCTTTTTCTAGTTTCATTTAATTTCGGTGCCAACAAAAATTTATCATACTTATTTAATTATAGATTTTTCAAAATACGTTGTTGAAAAATTGCTATTAGCATTTAAAAAATTTTTAACTGTCATTCTGTTGCATCTAAAACAGTGTTGCAAAGAAAAACTGTCTTATAGCATCTTTACACTGTACCTGATACTGATAAATTGAATGTATTAATAACGATGTGTTTGAAAAGTATTAAATTTTAAAAATTATTATCTTCTTAACTTATAGATCTGTTGCCACAGAGAGAGTCTTACCTGTGACTTCTTTTGTGCACATCTTTAACCATTGATAATCAATAAAACTTTTTGAATACTCTACATTTTTTTTAGTTTTCTCTACTTAAAACTGATAGCTAGCCCATAAGCTTAACGGATTTCCAGTCTCAATCTATAGACTAAGGTCTGTTTTCTTACAACTGTGCGTAAAAGCTAAAAGTTGTTCAAACATATGCTATTGAAAAAGTTGTTGTTTGCCCAACTGTTACAATTGTTTACCACATAATAACTGCTATTTTTTAATGAATAAGCAGTAAAACATTTTACTCTATTATACGTAGCTGAAATAAGGCAACAAAAGAAACTTGTTGATAATATTTAGACAAAAACTAAGTTACTATAATTAACCAGTGGGTGGAAAGGAAAAAGTAAGGTTGTGCAAAACAGTTGTTGAGAGGAAGAGTAAAAATGAAGCAAAATTTCAAGTAGTTCCACCTGAAAAATTTGCACTTCAAAGTAAACTAGAGCAGTAACGACTGGTAGAGGTACCACTTTAACCAATTAATTTATCCAAAGAAAAATGCTACTAAATTTATCCGCCTAAAACGAATTTTTAAACTACTGCAATACAATAAAAAAAGAGAAAATGATTTGTAGCAGTAAGTACATTGCTGTAGAAAAAAGCGAATATTAACTTTAACTGTTTACAGTTAATTACACTCTTAACGGGACACTTACCTTTGTTCACATACCAATTTAGTAGGTAAAAAATTTATAGATACTTTAAATCATGAATTTTACTAGGTTATTATTGTTGGAAAATTATTGACGGATACAATAGTAAAGATTACCAAAAGTTACTGAATCAGTGAAAACCGTTAGAACAGAGGACAAAAACAACAGCAACAATAACGGTAAAAACAAAAACAACTGAAAAACAACAGTGGGAAGGCCTCTTAAAATTTCTTAACCAATCATGTGGTTACGTTTCAGTCTGTCTTCCTCAATCTAATTATAAAAAACTGGTTTTTTTGTGTTTGTAGGGTGATGCTGATGCTGCTGCTGATGATGGTGTATTGTAAGTGGTGATGATGGTGTTCGCTGATGCTGTTGATGATGTTGGTAATGATGACGATAGTAAAGTGTGGGTATATGTATGTATTTGTATGTGCTTGTCGGCATGTGTGTGTTTGTGTCGGTGTTTGCATGTATTTGTGTTATATGTATCGCTGTGTTTTTAGGGGAGGCTTCAAGATGGGGCGATAGGGCAAAAAAGAAAATGTAGTTTCACATTCTACGCACAGAAGAATAGAGCGTAGGAGGTGAAATGTTTAGTAGTGCCGTCGGTGGTGCTGTTGCTTAGCGAAAGTGGTGGTAATGGTACTGATGATGATAACAATAATACTACAGCACTGCCGTTCGTGGGGTTGCTTTTTAGCTTCATAAAAGTTGTGGTAACAAAAAAATCTAGGAAATAAAAAAAGACGGTAAAAGTGAAAAAGAAAAATTGAAGGGAAAAAAAGTTGGTTTGTTTCTTTTTTTTCATTTAAATCTAATAGAAAAGGGAAGAAAAAAATACTACTTTTTTTTTTTTTTTTAAAACAAATATTGCCAAATTTCGCCAGCGTTTATACCACTAACTTTGTTCTTTGTGACTCACGAAAGTTCGACGTATTGCTGATATTTTTTCTGCCTTCGTTGTTTTCTAATTCTAGTGTTATTATCTGATAAATCTGACATTCAAAAAGATAGACAGTGTCGCGATGACAAAAGTTATGAATAAAACACCTTTTTTTCTTTTTGTTTTTTTTATTCTGCTTTTACTGTTCTTTTTTCTTCCTGCTGTTTCATAATTATCATTTTATTTAAATTTTACTGAAAGCTTAATCTGCTATTTACAAAGATGTTTCATTATTGTTTTAATATGAATATTTGTGTTTGTATTATTTGATAATGATGATGACGATGATGATGACGACGATGCTTCTGCTACTGCTGCTAAAATTGTTTACCAGGTTAAAACTTCTTCATCAGTAAGAAGTCAATGTAGACAGTTATCGTGAAAACTAAAACACGGACAGCAGTAGCAGCAGTAGCAGCAGCAACAGCAACAAAATTGTTTTCAATTTAAACAAAAATCAAAAAAAAAAAAAAATCTATTGTTAAAGTTTATACCGGGGAAGACGTCTATGAAAGAAACGATATTTGCACTTCTGGTTTATCTGATTTTTACATTTCATCTAAACAAAAACAGCTTTACAAAAGCCAGTTACGAATATGGTCATTATTATGGCAATATTGAATACGAATGTCCAGTAGGTTAGTGATTTAATTTGCTTTTTTCCCTTTCTTTTAATTTGTTTATTTCTATTTTTTATGGTGTTTTTATTTTTTATTTTTTTTTTTGGTGCAAAATTTACTCATCTGTATATCTACTTGGCCACTAGTGAATAGTTTAACAAACAGTTCAGATAAGTGTTGTAAGATAACTTTGTGGAGAAGCTTAATATCGCCATCTATTGCTTTCGTTGATTTCTGTTGTATACGTTTGTAGTATCATAGACGCTGTTAAATTAGACAAATATAGTGCTGTTTTCAAATACTGTTATCTGATTCTGGGCAACCAGTGATCATTCGAGGAAGTTTTCCCGGTGCTTTTTTTCTTTTTTGATTCTCTCTGCTGCTGAAGGAAATAAAAAGCCAGAAGTTGAGAGAACGGGAGAAAACTATATATAGTTGTTTGAAAAAAAAAAGCGAAATTTTTTTTCTAAACTGTTGTTTCTTATGTTTAAGTAATCTACAGGAAAACTTCTATCTGTTGAGTATGTTCAGCAACGACAGTTTTACCATCGGAATATACTTTTGAAGAAGAACTTTTAACTGACTCAGCTGACATTTTTGAACACGGTCTCTCATTTTCATCAGTTCCTAACGTCTTCACTTTTTCTTTCTTCTGTCTATTATATTATTACTATTATTACTAATATTATTATTATTATTATTATTA